ACACACACACACACACACACACACACACACACACACACACACACACAAACATTTTGCTCAAGCTGGCTCATGGTGTTCAGTTGCCAGCTCTTTGTCAGGTTGTTTGGCAGGGAAGATTTTGGAGAGTGAGCTGCAGACATGGAAAGATGTGAAAAGAATCAAGAAAAAGTGGATTTTTAGGTCACAGTAATAGCCAGGCAGACATTTTGACTGTGTTTATGAATCCTGCATGAAGAGACAGTCAGCAGTTCCCTTACCCCACACATGTGCACCAACAGTATCACTCTCCAAAATGCTGCCGGATTCTTTTCCACAGCACACACACACACACACACACACACACACACGGGCACACACACACACACACGGGCACACAAGCACACACCCATATGGCCTGCATGGTCCCCAGAGTAGGACAGTCCCTCCAGCGTGAGAGTGACCTTCTAGCCAGCCTCGGCGTTGGGATGACCTTCCCTTCCCAAATAATTACAACAATTAATCAATTAAATGCTGAGGCAACCACAACTCCACAGCTCCATAACCAGGGCTCACGTGCATGCGTGTGCACCTCATTACCTCCAGAGTCCTGCACAGCACACATGCTCATTTACGCACACATATAAAAAAATAAAAAAACCCTGTAGTTGCCATGGGCGACAGAGGCGTGAGCGCCAGGGTGTGGCGTGCCCCGTCTCAGGTGGTGCAGGAGAATGATGACAGCTGACAGCTCACAGTGTGACACCTCCCAAAAATCTGCCCCCCCCTCCCCCCCTCTCTCTCTTTCCCTTCTCTTCACATCTTCACATGTCTCTCTATCCCTCCCCCCTCTTTCTCACCCTCTCCCATGCATGCTGATTGTGGTCCAATAATAGCACTAGCACCTGTCTGGATAGCTCTACATTTATGAAAATCACTATGTGGGCTGCTTGTTTTCCTGTATAGCTTTTTTTTTTTTTTTTTTTTTTTGGCTTTCTCATGGCGACGAATGTAGTTTTCTGTGTGCTTTAAAAAAAACAAAAAACTTAGGCTTTGATTAAAAAGGTAAATTTGCGTGATAGATTTCAGATTGAGGTTTGAAAGATGGCTAAAAAGAATTTTAGTTACTTTGCGGACAATTAAGTTCTTTTGGAATATGTCCCCATATACAATTAAAGTTTTTGATACTGAGTACTGCTAATCACTTTGTAGAAATTCAGATTTTTGTGTTTTTTTTTCTTACTTTTCAGGCACCCATTGGTTACCAGTCATTTATATACTGTATAAAATCTACTTGGAGGGTTTCAAAATGTGCCAAAGTTGCGTGTCTCATCATATCAAACATCGTGTCTGCTTTATTATCACAGCTGATTTCCATTATTTTTACATGGTGCTTCAGTAGAAGGTCAGATTGATTTGAAAAGTCTGCACCAAGTTACCTCAACTCTCATAAAACCTCAAGCACACTTGACATTTGGTGTCATGCATTACAGTTTTAGTAAGTTTTTAATAATAATTGACTTCAGTGGATGTTTGGAAAGTAGAAAAAAATGCATTGAAAAATTACTCTTCCACTTTACACTTGTATCATAAAGCACTTGTGATGATATAGATTTGTCCTGTTGAGAAAAATAATCGACTAAACAACTACAAATAGAAATATGATGCGCTTTGTGAGAAGATCCGATTTACATGTGTGGGGAATTGAAAACTGATTGACCAGAAGATTAGACATGTGAAGAATTGGTTATATGTCATTTCTATTACACAATACCATTTCTGTTATTAAATAGCTGTAATAAATGTAGTTTTATCCAGTTTTAACTTTTTTATTCTCAATAGATTTCTTACTTGCTAGCCTCAAACCAAATATTATTTCAATAATTAGTTTTAAAAAAGGACAACAGTTGAATAGATTAAATGTTCGTTAATTTCAGCCTATTTTAGGTGGGCTGTTCTTTCTGCCCATTTCAGTTTCAAAACACCTATTCTATTCATTTTTTCAGAAGAATAAAAGAAGGCAACTGGTTGAGTTTGCAGGACAAATCTGTCAGCTGTCACTTCTAGTATTATCAAAGGAGAAGGGCAGAGAAAATCTATTTCACATCAACAAAAAGATTGACTATTAAGTCATTTTTGTGAGTTGGACACTAGCCCCAAAAGGATTTTTTTATTTTTTTAAATGTAACACATCTTGTAGTTTGGCAGCATATAGCTTCAAGGACTTCTCTCAAATCTGAACATTTCATCTCAGTGGATTTTGCACTTTTTCTTTACTTTCTCTTCTTTAGGATGCACATCTCATTTTCATTTTTCCGGTAACAAGTTACGGGACCCAGAGGACAGTTAAAGGACAGGTGTGTGAGTTTGCTCTAAAAATGAAAGCACTCCTTTGGTACATACAGTTAGTTGTTGCAGTTGTTTGTGCTGGGATAATATTCTGGCTGAGTCCGAGGGTTTCGTGTTTTGTGCGCCTAACACCTCCTTAGACAAACTTAATAAAATGAAATGGGGACACCTGTTCAGTGAGCCCCACCTCAGCTCCCCTTTGTTCCAACTAAAACACACAAACCTACATAGGCCCAGGCCAAGACAGCAGGTGTTTAGATCACTTTCCTCCATCTGCCCTCCTCATCTCTTCTCTGGCTGACATTTCCTTACTAATACAGTAAATAGGGTCCCTGAACCTGACACACTGCTCCCCCCCCATCCTTTTTTCATTCAATAATGAAACCTGCATCTGTTCATTTCTCTTGTATTTCATTATATTTCTCAGCCTCTATCTTTCTCCTTCTCTGTGTTTTTACTGCTTGCTTTATGAATAAGTAAATGCAGTATTTGGTTTCCCCGTCGTTAATTATTGAAGCGACAGTGATACAGGACTTGCCTCCCAGTGCGCCCAGTCGCCCAGACCCATGTTTTAGCTCGTTCCTAGGCAACCAGGCTGCATATAGTCAGGCATCAGTAACATCCTAATGATTCTGCTGCGCATGCGATGAGGGGGAGTGCAATTTACACACAAATCAGTTGGGCTACCATTTGCATCATGTCACCAGGCTTAAGAGGATGAATATGTAATGTTTTTTTTTTTTTTTTTCTCCTCTCTGTGTCTTTCATATCTTCGAAGAGAAACGTGTGATAAATGACAATGCTATCACAACAGCTACCTCTTATTGGGGGTTGGTTACATGGTTGTGTACAAGGGCATGTTGCCATACAAGGCCTTTTTGACAGATTTTAATGGGGAGAGGAGTGGTTAAACAACACTTTCTTAAAGGGTATCAAGTGTAGGACAAGGTGGGATCACAGACATGGGAGCACAATCCTGAGGTGACCTTGACTGGATTTGAACCAAATTGAAATGTGATGACTGTCATCCTCGCGCCAAACATTTACAAGCTGTCAAGCTGATTTTAAACACTCTGTGAGAGGCTCAGTGGACATCGGGGATTTTACTCGCTATTGACGAGAGGCAGCAGAGTCAGTCAGAAAGTAAATAAATGATTGAAAGAACTGGCCCGGCCACAACAGCCGAGGCAGCTCTGTCAATCCCGGCTATTGATCTGCAGGTAGATGGCATCGATGAAAAGCAGGGGCTGTTTAAATGAAAAATTGAAATGAGGACCTGATTAGAATTAATTATCTTTTCGCTTTGATTTGTTTGCGAATAAAGCTTCAGATCACATTAGCGGCCTGTGTGTCAGGTGACCAGAGTGAGATGTGCTATGCTGTCCAAGTACAAGTGAAGCAGAAACACCACAAATGCTCTTCTCGAGGCCCCAAAATCAATGTTGTACACTTCATCAATTTTTTGGCAAGGTCACATGTATGATGAGCTGTAAAGTTGAACAATTTTGACAGAGAAGTGCGTCCTCTACTCCAGTCTTTGGAAAGAAGAAAGAAAGGGTGCAAGGTTCAGGTGATTACGCATAAAGTAGAGAAGTGTAAAAGCAACGGGCGGAATCAAACAAAGACTTGGGAGATTAAACCTCGAACTTTAAGGTGAAAGTCTCCCTACCATTTGGACAAGGACATTGGCTTTGGTTCCACTGGGTTCCAGTGACAGTGGCGGCTGGCATAAAGCATTATTAATGACCAAGGAAACTGGCCTTCAGGCTAGGCGTTAATTATATCACTGGAGAGCTGGGGGAGAGAGAGGGAACACACGGGAGGGCGGGGCCACTCCTTGTGTTGTGTGTGTGTGTTTTACATTGTTAAGCCATTACTGTCCCCGTTTCTAAAGGGAGCCCGGTTGATAGATTGCTAGAAACACTCCCCAATATCAGTCGGAGACCCTATCTCATTTCTGTAATTGTGTTTTTCCCATCTTACTCATGTCAAATAGCCCCCCCTTTTTGTCTGTGTCAAAGTTACACGAAGAAAAATCTAGCAACATCCCTTTAAATAAATGAGATCAAGATGGCAGGTAAGGCCACACAGTTGAGCTCAGTTCAGTTTAGAAAACAGCTCCCTTTTCATTCAGTCGAGCTAGCATGCCCTTGAACTACCAGTTTTTCCCTGCTCACCAAAATAATCCATTAATTTAATTTCACTTTACTTAATTTATTTAATGAAAATGTATGCTCTGATTCAGCATTCACATTTCTCACTAATCTAAATGTGACAGAGTTAACTGGAGAGATAATTTGGTTAGCTACAGGCTACTGTTTTCATCATTAAGCCTGTCTTAATCACCACCATCCTTTCTGTACACTGGCACAGATTCACAGTCTAGTGCACTGCATGCCATGTGCAGGGGGTGTGTTTTTGATGCCTGGCGCCTGCATGTGACAGTTCCATCGGCTGTGAGCAGCCCTCCACTCCTCGCCGTCTCATAGCATCTGCGGCGTTGTTCTTTAAAAGGCCAGGGGCCGCTCACTGCGCATCCCCTTCAACGCAGCTCCAAGTCAACTCTCCTTACAATCATACTATAACTTTCAATCTGGGGCTAAACAGTGAAACACTGGCCTAATGTGGCTGAACAGAACACCAGACAAGTTTGTTTACTGGGCCCGTCTCTGCTTTTACTCGGAGTTGTACAGGACAGACTGATGTGAGCTGCACAGTGTCAACATGCAACGTTATGTAAAGAAAGACTTGTGGATTGAAGAAATGTGTCAAGAGGGGGGAAAAAAGCACTTTTATTCAGACCTTTACAATGCAATGATATGATGCTTTTCTCAGTTTTAGTTCGTGACAGTGTCACAACCTTTAGTTTCTGGATTCATGGTTCAAATAATCAATATGAAGATGTCACCAGGGAGCCTCAGATGTAGATCAAAGTGATATGTAATAAGCTCTCAGGAGGATATCCATCCATCCATCCATCCATTATCTATACACCGCTTAATCCTCACTAGGGTGGTGGGGGGGCTGGAGTCTATCCCAGCTGACTCAGGGTGAAGGCAGGGGACACCCTGGACATAACCAGTCTATCACAGGGCTACACTTAGAGACAGACAACCAAGCACACTCACATTCACACCTACGGACAATTTAGAATCACCAATTAACCTCAACATGTTTTTGGACGGTGTGGGAGGAAGCTGGAGAACCTGGAGAGAACCCACACTTCACAGGGAGAACATGCAAACTCCACGCAGAAATATCCCTGGTGTCCTCACCGGGACATGAACCGACGACCTTCTTGCTGTGAGGCAGTGGTGCTAACCACCAAACCACCTTGCAGCCCTCTCAGGAAGATATCTCACAGAAAAATGTTCTCAAAGTACAAAGTTGCACGATAACACTACAACTATCTGCCAATAGTTTGGTCTCTTTAGGACTCAAAATGCACAATTTTTGCTGGTCCAGCTTTTTTAGTATGACTGTTTGATGCTTTGCTTTTCTGTCTTGTGTATCATTAATTCAATATTTTCGAGTTTTAAACCGTTGATCTGACAGAACAAGAAATTTGAGGTGTTTTCTAACAACTAAATGATCAAAATAGATGCTACTTTTATCAGAAAACCCCCAAAAATGTCAGCAATTTTCACCTTTACCACCTTTTGTTGCCTAAAACTACAGATCGAAGGTTGACTTGACACATCCACCATCACCAGCAACTGGTGTCCGTCCATTAACTAACGACAGCTCTTTTCTTCACACACCAGTGTTCAGGGAGCCCTACACAGTCCGAGTGGCCGACCAGCGCTCCATGCGGGGTAATGTTGCCGTGTTCAAGTGCCTCATCCCCTCAGCTGTCCAGGAGTATGTCAGCGTGGTGTCCTGGGAGAAAGACACCGTCTCCATCGTCCCTGGTAGGAAACATTAGCCGTCACTGACAAAACACAAACTAAATCTGCAGAAAATTTCACTGTGAGTGCATGCTTGCTGTTTTTAATCAGTTGGCAGGTATTAATTGAAAACAAACGTAATTCCAATATATCAGTGGAGAGTATTTGCCCTTACCAAAATGAGAAATATCTATTAAAAAAAAAAATGTTTAAAGGAATGGATCCCAAACCAAGGCTTGTGAGTTGGTTCACTTAAAAGGTGTGATTTTACTTCAGATTTAATTCTCATGAAGATTTCCTGCTCTTTTGCCATTTTTTGTGGTTGCTGACAGCCCTCGTTCGATACAAATCAATTTATTTGTGTTGCTGGCATCGGTGCTGGCGAGAGAAGATGGAGGAAGGTTGACAGAATGCTTCAGTCATTCAAAAATAAGTCTGATGAAATGGCCTTTGCCTGGCACATTCCTGGCTCCTCACTCACTAACTGACACCGCTGTGGTTAATAGCTGCGTTACAGGGATAAATCAGGCATTAGTAGACATGTGCTGTTTGTGTGAGCAGTGCGTGTGTGTGTGTGTCTGTGTGTGTGGACTGGAGGGATCTAATTTGATGAGTGATAGATCTGTTTAGCTGCTCATCACAGTCACCCAAAAGAGAACAGCCACACCTCTAGGGCTCTGCTGTGTCTGAAGCCGTTCTCCCTGCTTCGTCCGATGCTCTATTCAAACCACTCCATGTTTAATAATAATACCGGTTTGAGAATGAGCCTCCTACATGCTGCTCTATGCCTGTGCATTGGCATTTCTGTGTGTGTATGCATGTGTTCGGGGCTTGTGTGGTGCAGTGTTAACATTTGCTCCATGGAGCAATAGCAAATTGCAGGGTGTCAGATGAGACTGTTTAGGTCAGATGATACGTATTGCTCCCTCTGCCCCTTATCTTGCTCTCTGATACCGAGCACCCGTTTCATCTCCCGACACTGTGTGCGGCTGTGTGTGCATAAAGGTGTGTGTGTGTGTTTGTGTGGCTCTTTGTATGGCTCTGTCCTTCACACAGGAGCACTCATTGATCCAGCACAACTGTAGTGTGTGTATGTGTGTGTGAGTGTGTGTGTGTGTGGCCTGAGGGGGGTTTCCAGTCTGGATCGATAAAGCTTGCTGCTGGATTCCCCTCTCTCTTGTCACGGATCCCTCAGTGTGAGAGTGGTGAGATCGGGCCAGTCTGTTTGACTCATAGCTCTGTGTGCGAGTGCGTGTCTGTGTGAACAGTGTGTGTGTGTGTGTGTTTGCTAAAGCCACTGTATCATGGCCGTGTGGTAAGAGCTCAGTGGGAGTATGTTATTGATCAGCTGATGGACATGTTGGGTAAAACATGCACATATGAACAAGCAAAAGCATGCAGGAACATGTACAAACACACACATGATTACATGAGCAGCTTTCTGAGATTATTCTGGTCAGTGCACATCATCCATAATCTTTATTAGAAAGGCTATGATAGAATTCTCCCTAAGTACATATAACACAAAGCAGTATATTTACTGAATATTCTCATCACTGCTTTGATTGGAAAAGATTAATGAACTGAATAATTTATTACTGCTGTATATGCAGTATTATATTGTAAAAGATAGTGTGTTTTAGAAGTGGTAAAGAATATGAAGCACCATTTTTAGGCTGAAATTATTTGGCAATCATTCCCTCTTCTTGGATTTGCTGCTTTCCTTTTTTTTTACTATGTTGTAAACTCAGTATTTTGGGGTTATGGATTTCTGATTGATGTGATGCCACAGGCAGCTTTGGGGAACTATAATGGGTCTCTTTTATTTTTTCACTATTTTCTGAGATAATCAATTAACTGATTAATTGTAAGGTTTTTGCTAATAAAAAATAATCATCCTGAACCATCTGAATTTGCATTTGAAAAGACTCGAGAGCTTTTTTTTTTTTTTTTTTTTTTCATTTTTCTCCCTCACTCCTTTTCTCTCTACCAAGGGCTGATGAATAGGTCTTATTAGTAACACAGTGCTCCTCTTCTTCTTTCTGTCCATCTTTGGCTCGTAGCCTCCTCTCATCTCTCTCCCTCCCTGGTACAGACTGGTGGCCTGTGTCAGCATCATGGTCACACACACACACACACACTGACACGCTGAATGCATGCGGGCGCCCCTCCCGTCCCACTGCACTCTGCCACACACCTCATCCATCCATCCATCCATCCATCCATCCACTTCATCTATCAGCTCCTGGTGGCATGTACAGCTTTCAGTCTTTCAATAGCACTCGAGATGCTCTAGTGGTTCGCCATTTATTAGGGACAGTGTATGCCAAGGTATTGGCTTGACAGGATGACACATGTCACACAGACGGCTGTGTTGGTCAATAAAGCTGAGTTTGAATGGGCTTTGATGAAGAGGCAGGAGGGTGTTTGCTGACAGCTGGCCTCACTGTGAGACGACCCTGCCTGGGTGTCGTGTCACTATTTGACAGCCAAATCTGTTTGCGTTGTGGCCCGTTCGTGGAGCGATGTGGGGGGGGAGTAGACAGATAGATAGACAAGGCAGACAGTCAAACAGAGAAGGGCTTTGTGTGTTGACTGGCTATCGCCGTTTCTACTCCCCTGTCATACCTCCCCTTCTCTCGCTACTTTTCTATCCAGCCATATCTTTTCCTTTAATTGATGGTTTGCTGCTGTTGCTGTCGGTTAGAAAATTAGCATTTGTTTGCTTGTCAGTTAGGGAACTGAAAGAGTATGCTGTGACGGATGCGTATGTGTACCAAGGAACTTCATCTGTGTGTGTGTGTGTGTGTGTGTGTGTGTGTCACTTTGTTAGTATCCATCTCCTCCTCCAGTTGGAGCTTAAAACAGTGTGAGTTTTATCTGGTCACCATGGTAACGGGTGCAATCCGGCGGGCGGAATGAGGAAGGTGTGAGGATGCATTGCTGCCTGATTTTTATTAGTGCATCACCACGGCTCGGCTCCGCTGTGCTCATGCACACACGCACACAGACATGCGCACACACACAGACAGACACAGAGGACATAACTGCATATGTATGTTTTCTTCTTCTTCTTTCTGTCTGTCTTTCCTTCTTTCCCACGTTCTTTCTTTTATTAGAAGTTGTAAATTTCCTAGTTCATGCTCTTGAATATGAGGGTGACACTGTTTTACATCCTATAGATGGATGCAGATACTGATATCGGGATATATTTCAGCTTATAAGTGACAAGAAATCGCATGTAGCCAGAGTATCACAATTACAAAGCCTCAAAGCAAAGTTATGTTTACTGCATGTATGAGCTTGAATATTGTTGATACTGTGTGCAAAAGTTTAAATCAGTTCCGACTTATAGATTCTTATCTGTTAACCTTTTCCATCAGCGAGGCGTCTGATCGCTCCCAATTTCTTCTGCAGCAAAACGACAACCACAAACATACAACCAGAGTCATGTATTAGCTTTAATGACAAGAAGAACAAGGAGTCTCACAACAGGTGGCACGACCCCAAAACAAGACCCAATCTTAACATTTTTTAGTCAGTCTGGAGAGACAAAATATATACCAGCAGCCCAAATCCACTAAGAACTGTGGCAAGTGTTCCAAAATACACAGAACAACCTGCCTGCCAAGTATCTTTATTTTTACTTTTAGTGCTTAAATGTTTTGCACAGCATTGCAGATTTTGAACTGTCAAATATCAGCAATTGTGTCAGCCTCAAAACTCTGGCTGGGCTGTCATATACACATCATATTCGGGGTTCTGTTGTTCTTTAAGACCTACTTCAAATGGTATTTTTGCCTGGAAATGCTTTTCTGATATCAGCAGTGTGTCTGTCTGAAAATCCACTTGTCTAGAAATATTCACAGGCCTGTTTATGAATTTGTGGTATAAATGTGTATGTAGTTCAGTCTCTTCAGAGTTATGTCTTAAGTAGGAATTTGACCAGTACGGTAAAATTCCACACGCTGACATTAGATATAATAGCTCACCTTCCTTCGACACAAAAAAATACTGCATATGTGAATCACATTACTTATTGCGGTTAAATAAATTATACTGGAGACACCTGAGTAGCAAACTTCATTAAATGTTGATGAAAACATTGACAGTGTGAGTCAGGATGGTATCAAGTCAGGGTAAATAAATGTTTTTATCTATTTGACTAAGCTAAATGTTAGATCATGTATGACATTTGAAAATGCAGCATCCATTGCAGGAAAAGTTCACATAGAACACTACAACACTGTTAATCATAACTTCTTCAAAAGTTTATCAGAGATTGTACAGAAGTACTCCTAGTTTTTACATATAAAAAGGCAAGATGAATAACAGAAAAACACCCTAGGAAATAGACAAAGTGATAGACACGTACAGATAGATTTGTTGATTTCTCTGTTTATTGAGTCATTGATTGGCTGATACAGCGAGAGGGAAAGCCAGAAAGACAAAGTATTGAGGGTGAAGAGGGTGTGGAAAAGTGTGACGTCTGTGTTTTTGCATTCATTGATTGAGGCTGTTTAATCCCCCTTTCTCTTTCACAGACACTGCCTCTCTCTCTCTGTGAAGTGTAGCGTCACCACAGCTGCTGCAGCTTCTGTCCCAGTCTCCATTTTGTGGCCACTCTGCAGAGGCCCTGTGCTCTCGCTACACCCCTCCGCCTATCCGCTCTTAACTTCATCCCTCGCTCGCCCCTTTTCCTTTCCTTTTCTAGAGGCACTTATTAGGGGACGGTGAAGTGACAAAGCATCGTCTATTCCTTCCAGTCCATCAGGCCTGAAAGTGAACAACAGATAGGCGCAGATTTTTTTTTTTTTTGCAGAATAGGCAGAAAAACGAAAGACAAAGTGGCACAAAAGCATGACATGCTAAATTATGCAGATGGCAAAGTGGGCATAGGATGGAGGGATGATGGAATGAGGTGGGTAGGTATATGAGGACATATGAGAGGATGGGCAGATGGACAAAGAGAGAGGTGTGTGTGCCTGGTTTTCTTGCTGTCCCCAGCACTCAAGGGAGAAGGA